ATTGTGGGAAAAAGGAGTAGGGGAAGAAAGAGGATACTTTGGATGGACAGTCTGCAGAAATTGTTGGAAGAGAGAGGAGTGAAAGAACTAGGAGTGGTACTAATACAGAAGGCTAGGAACCGAGGGTTGTGGAACAACATGGTCCCCAAAGTCAATCGATATGGCACTTAGGGCGCGTTCATGCTTGATTTTGAAGGCAGAATGAGCGATTTGTAACGCGTAAACGCTCATCGTAATCGCAGTTCCACGGTGCACTGTTCATGCTCACTTCTCCAGGCAATTCTCCTTGGGTGGCCTTCAGCTGGATTCGCAAACCTGTGTGCGCATGCTACGTAGACCCACTAAAGGTCAGTGCGTTGACCCCATTTAAACGCGTTTACAAATTGTAAACGCATCTTTTTGTGAGTTTACGATCGGCGATCGTGATCGCCGTTTTTCCGTGATTCTACAAAAGTGAGCATGAACGCAATCGTGTTTTAAACTAAACGCGTAACAGATGCCTGATTCTGGCCGTCAAAATCAAGCATGAACGCGCCCTTAGAGAGAGAGAGAGAGAGTATCTTAAAGCAGAAATACACCTATAGTCGATTTCAATAGGCATTTGTTAGGGGTTGAGGATCCATCCATATCAAGGTTTTAGAAAAATATACATATACAAATAAACTAAACTGTCATAGGGTGAAACAAACGATAATTCATAAGAAATGATATTAAAGAAAGGTACTGGAAGTATAATATCTACTGGATAAATCGTGATATTCATGAATCTGAACGCTAATTTAGTGTAGGTATACCGAACTGGAATATACCAATCTAACTCGATATGATGGTATTTTCTTTAACCCCACAATTCCTCCACCATGATAAAAATAAAAGAAATCATAAAGATATATGGAAATTATGATTATGAGGACTTTTTGTATAGAGGTGGTACCAGCCTCTGATGGGCGCTCATGGCGCTTGCTCTCTCTCTATATTTATTATATTAAAACGGGGAGCCGCGTGAAAAATTGAGTCATATACAATAGGTATTCTGGAATAACATTTCTTCATGATAAAATGCTCAAATAATATCAACTTGAAAATTCTATTGGGGAATTCAATTGAAAACACGATTAAGTGTTTTGTATTCCTCGCTTAATGCAACACGGCACAATTCCTGGCAATGAGATGACCATAATGGTACGGTAACTAAAACAAAAAAGTAAGGTTGAAAAACGACGTTGCTCTAGAATATCTTACAAGTTCAGCGCAAATAGGGTAAATACAAGGCTCTACACGTGCTTAACCACAATCGGAACACTCGACTAAAGTATATCACTTAGATATACTTTCAATCATTAATTTCTTTGGAAGAAAATATAAGGTCAATTTTGAAAGCATGCATATACAAAGTCGTTTTGTCAAAATGTATACGGCCTACAAGTTTCATTCAATATACTTTCTTGTTCTGTTAGCAAACCAATTTCTTCCATGGTAGTAATTTGAAGGTTTAACAAATGGTAAATAACCTTCGGTATTCTCGACTGCAATGCATATATATATATATGAAAGATTACATCAAAACCATTTAAAAAGAAAGGTGATACATTTGTTATGATATATTTATAAATACATACAAAATCATGTATGTATGTGTGAAATTGACTTTCTTTATACTTTGAGTCGTTTACATTATCATAAAGTTGTATTTTGGACAAAACATCTCATTTTACTGTCATCCGCAAAGCTATTATAAGAAAAGCACTGTTTGCAGGCATCGTCGTGATTGTCATAAATGACATATTTTAAAGGGAAGATTTGTTTGTTAATACGTGCCCATCTATGATGCGGCTGTATGAACACTGACTTACAGACCATTCCGCAACCTGCTAAGCACTAGTTTATACAAGTTTATCTTAAGACACATTTATTCAAAACTGCTTTCGATGATTAATTAATTCTGTTCACCTTAATGTGTATTCCATATGTATGCTAATTTATAGGTTTATTTGCACTGTTTTGTTTTGTTTAATATGTAATTGTTTATCAGTCTAATTTGTTTGTTATACCGCTTAGAGACTTCGATGGTAAGCGCTTTATAAGTAACGTTGTTATTAGTACTATTAAGTAAAATTTGATGCATTTTGGCAGGAATCTGACGTGAGGGGCAAATTGCCCCCTCGCCTCTTCTTCAAATATGTTAGTGTTATTGCAATAGTAGGCTCTTTCGCTCTTTCGTCTCATTTGAGTGGTCCTGAAAGTGACCGAGTTCCGATGCCTATACCCTCTGACCAAGGTGTGTTTAATGGCTACTAGAGAAGGCAGTGGAAGCGAGAATTGCAGAGAGGCCCTCAGGAAAGAACAGTATTGATCAATGTCAGTTCTGATAAGGTCACCCTCGATAGTAAGGACTACGCGGTTATCATTTTGTTAGCATGTATGTGTTCGGAAACCTGACAATCTAAAAAAAAATTATTTATTGAATATTTGCTACATAGCTGCCAAAATTGAAATAAGTGAAGTGGAAATATAAATTATTTCTAGTAAACCTACAGCTGGCCATTCGACGACAAGAACACAAGATTTATCATGTTTATTTCATTATGTCATATGGCATACACACATATCGCAAAAAATATAAGTGTTCTAAATTCAGAAAATCCATCTTTCAGGGCTGTCAATATCAAAGCGAATAATTCACCTTCTGGCAAATTTTCTCAAATCCGATGTCACACGCGTTGTTTCAGGGCCATTATCTACCAACCTATCAAGTATTCTAATGTATACCATCATGTAGTCCAATCAATTTGATTGAAATAGTTCAAATGAAATTGATATTTCATACTGATGCAGAGGTTAAAAACTACCAATTTGTGTACGGGCTTCAGAATTGAAGCGTGGCAACCCTGTACCAGTGATGCACGTCGAGTGAAAGTATTAACATGATAAAAGGGTTTTCTCCGTCTTTTTTTTTTTGTTTGTGGGGGGGGGGGGCAGAGAGTGGATCACAGTTGTAACTAGGAAGATAACATACGAGAAAACGAGATAGTCGAATGAGGGGATTGTGTTAGAGGCATGTTATTGTCCTTGTGTCTTTTTTTTAAAACCATCTTCTCTGTATTATTATATTTTTTTCACCACTGTACATAAAGGAAGGTGTAGAAAAACGTGCCCCAATTCGCCACGTGTCTATTCCACTTTTGACCGAATTAGGATTATCAAGATAGTATATGATAATAAGGATATTATTCCTACTACTCCTTTAGAATCGTGTTATGCTTGGAGACTTCTCATACAAAATGAAAGAAGTCACTTTTGTGTTCTGCCAAATGGTGAACAAGGACATAATGCCGACGTTTGCAATAAAATTGCAATCAATTTTACATTATGTGAGATGATAACAAAGTTTGAAAACTCATCTAACACAAAAGGGCAACGTGCAATTCAATTGACTCCTTTTTAATATGTGTCGGCATGGCAACATGATTTGTTTCATTTTGTAACTATGGTGATGACCACTGGTAAATAGATGCAACAACCTTAGAACCGTGTTAATTTCCATTTGCAAATGGAAATCTATACATAAAACATGTTCTTAACGGTGTGATTGGAGATAAGTACTCTACATCAATTGGCAATACCGTTCGATTGTGGCTAGGTGGGAAAAAAGGGGAAAAGAGATGAAGAGAACGAAGAGAGAAGTAGAAAGAGGGAGAGGAGATAGTTACAAGAAGAAGAGGAGACGGGGAAAGGGAGGAGAAGGGATGATGAAAAGAAAATAACCATGGAGGAGGAGAGGTTGGAATAGATTAGGATCAGAGAAGGACGTATTGGGGAGGGGGAATAGGGAGAAAAAGGAGTAATAGGTGTAAAGGAAGAGTTAACAGTTCTAAAAGAGGAGGTTAAAACATGGCAGAATGAATTCGGGGAAGAAGTAGGAGGAGTATGGGGATAAAGGGAGAATTATATTATAGTTACAATTATGTCATGTTAATCTTTATCTCCATTTGTACTTCATTATACATGGAATGTAAAAACTATATATATCATAAATGCATCTTGCATGCAGATTCATATAAGAACCGCATCATTCTCTATGTTGAACTAAAGCTTGTTCAACTCTAGGTGAAATGCATTTATGAAATAATTTTCTTTAGTCTTACGTTCAGTTTTATTTGTTGTCCTCATTTTATAAAAAGGTATGATATCAACTTCTGGATTCTTTCCGTGTTCACATCTTGATATATCTTCACTCACATTTAGAATGTGATGAAATGTAGGGCAATGCAAAAATAGTAGCAAGAAAGTAAACAATGCGCATTACCCTGGGCACGCTTGATAGTTCAATGAAATATTATGGTGAAAAGGATGTTCAGGTCACAGACACATGAAAGTTACAATTAGGTAAAAAGGAAATGCGCTTTTTATGAAAATAATAACAAGGCTCATAGCCTAGGAAAAATGAAGAATGATATGAATGAGCTTGCCGAACACAATCGGAGCAACTTTATTATTGCGTACCTATGACCGACCCGCCATTTATCCCTCAAATCTAACTAACATTTGATATGCTGTCAACTTTACTTTAAAAAAACCTTGATCATTAAATCTTCATATATATATATTGTATTTGTTAAAAAGAATGACATTATAACGTTTTGGCAGGGGATAATAATAATTAAATTTAATTTAATTAAATTCATTTTTTTTTCACTCAGAAATCATAAAATATAACAAAGATAAAGGTTTACATGTGGATAATCATAATGATAATACCTATAATAATAACGGTGATGATAATGATGATGATAATAATGATAGTGATAATAATAATAACAATGATAATGATAATTATAATAATAAGACAAATAATGATGAAAATGGCAATAATGATACTAATGAAAACAAATAATAGTGATAATTTGTTTCATGCATAACATATCGCATAAAATATTGTGAATAACATATCTATATATACCACTCGATATCAATACTTAAAAATTTGCTCTTCTTAACAGCTCACGATGAAGTCCTTCATGGTGTTCTCACGCACGTTTCGGAGCAAATGACAAAGTAAGTTTTCTTCTCCTTTTTTAAAATTGTAAATCTTTTCCTTTTCCATCCGATTATTCTTCCTTCTCACTTTCTTATTCCTTTTCTTTTTCTTTTTCTTTTTCTCCAGGTTCCCCTTTAAATTCTATATATTATATATATTTACTTGTCATTCGTGGTGTTTGATGTTAATTTGCTATTGCTGTCGTTGCTCTTCGTCTTCTAATATTACTCTTATTACAACTACTACTACCACTACTACTATTACTACTACTGATGCTACTACTACTAATAATACTCCTACTAATACTACTGCTGTTGTTACTACTTCTACTACTATTATTACTACAATTAATAATAATAATATTAGTACTGCTACTATTATTACTATCGCTACTTCTACTTCTACTACTGATGATAATAATACTCAAACTGAAATAAATACTATTACTAATTTTCTCTCCTTCTTTACTTTGTTTTGCTCCTACTTTGTTCTCCTACTTTGTTTTTCTTCTCATTATCCTTGTTCTGGTTCCTCTTTCCCTTCTTCTCATTCAGTTACTTCTTTACTCATTCTCCTATCATTTCTACTACTGTTTTCCCCTTTTACTTTAATAAAACAAACATTAACACATTTTAATTATTGCCTTTGTCGCCATTTCAGAAGATAAGTTTGTTGGGTTGGTTATTTGATCAATTCGGAGGTAATATTTATATCTAGAATTTGCATCGTTTTTCTTTTACTCCCTCGCCTTCTATATCAATACAAGTACTTATATATATATATATATGAAGAAATTGCATCATTATTCAACGCTTTTTGAGTGATTCAATGCACTATTCAGTGTATGGTCATTATGTTTGAGGGTATGAATTGAAATGATTGCGTGCTGATACCTATGGCTCTACATTCACTGTTTGTTTGCGTATATAAGTGTCGTGTTTTAAACGACACAATCGCTTAGCTCGCATTTGACATTAACATCTCACCATTTGACTTAAAATACATATGCATTTCATGAGAGAAAATAAACATCACCTATGTAAAACAAAAAAGAAGGATATTTCTACCTGCTATTTCTTTGATAATATTCATGCACTTTTTATCTTTTGCAGGGCCTTCCGAATAAACGAGATGAAAGATGAGATGCTTAACCGGCTTAACGTCATGCAGCAAAGAATCGAAAGTAAGATTTAATCCTTTTCGACTAGAAATTCATTTCATTTCCCACAATATCACTCGAATAATTGCCTGTTACTAGTAATGAACTGTTAAGGTTATATCAAATTCATCGCATTGCTCGTCCACTTTGTATTATTTGTATTCTTTTGAATATATGATTGGGCGACAATATGATTGAGGGCAATGTTATGGTGCTTTCTTTGAATTATTTTTAAAAATAAATTGACAATAACAAATTTGATTAATATTGATTGAATGTCTGGTGTTTTTGAAGGTACAGAAGCAGTGGTTCCTGAACAACAACGTAAGCAAAAGAGCAGTGATAATATTGACACACTCAGCCTAATCCCTCTAGCATTTCCGTATTTCTTGCATGACCTCAAACGTAGTCCTACATGCTGTTAGAACTTGAATTAGTTAAAACATTACTGAGAGCAACGCTGAATAGAATACATCCGCTACGCAAGCCACTGGCCCCAAGAGGCTACATCTTACTCCTGTCCTATCCTTGTAAATTGTAACCCTTACACTAACACTAATACCGAAACCATTCCTAGTCCTATCCTGTTCCTCAACACTGACACTGAACGTAATGATAATACCCACCCTAGTCCGTAACCTAAGACTAATCCTATAACTGTATTACCCTGACACTAGTCCTATCAATCGTAACCCTGAAACTTACACGGACGCTGATACTATCCAAACCCTTGTCATAAACTTAACTCTAACTCTAACACTACAACACTGACACTAATTCTCGTAATCCTTACACTGACACTAAACACGGACACACATCATAATGATAAACCTAACTCCAGTCTTAAACCCAATTCCTACCCACCAGGAAAACACTGATACATATCCTATTAATCCCAACACTGATACTGGACACTGAAACTAATCATAATGCTAACCCTTTCTTGAGTCCTATACCTAATTTTAGAAGATGATGAAGCGGATCCTAATTACAAGATTGGTTGAGAGCGTACACGTGACCAGGCATTTTGTTTGCCTAACACGTAATTTTACTAATGACCGGTAATTAGCAAATACTAATGACTGGTCATTAGGAACAAAAGTACCTTGTGTTGGTAATTCTTACTAATGCCCTCACTGCTGTGTATTATTTGTTTACTAAGGTGATTACATTGATATTTATCCTATTAATCCTTACCCTAACACCAAACACTGTCACTGATCCTAATGCTACTTTTAATCCCATCTCTGATACTTAACCATCACCCTAACCCAATCCATAAACCTCATTCTGTAATAGTACAGATCCATGGTGGGGCGATCAACAGTTAAGTTAGTTCCTATTTCTGACTCTGTGATTAACAACTTAGGCTCGTTCAGAAATGAAATGAAGCGGTAAACCGAGGCAGCCTTTTTTTTTTGGTAATATTTTGTTATACTGACATGAAGTGGTAGAGGCATCACATTGTTTAATCGCGAAAAAGAGAGATAAGTGAATTCATGCAGGGCCTGTTATTAGACAAGTGTGCTAAGTTGCTATTCATTAACACTTACACAAATACAACGGGGCTGTCTTTTTGTTTTTGTTGTTTCATCGCATCATATTTTAAGGAATCTTTAGGGTAAACATATTCCCTGTGAAATGCCATCTGAAAACCTCCAATTAGGGAAAGGCGCTCCTTCATTCGCATGCGATAATGCATAGTGTTTATTATGTGGTCTAGAATAGCAGAGTATTGATTCTATTTAGCATTTGTCTTCATCAAAAACCCATTTCTTGTAATGGCCACAATTAAACAGATGCAATCTTTGAGTAGCACAAAACGTACGACCGTACGGTTCATGGGTCTGAAAATCAGACTATTAACTAAAAGGATTGCGATTCCTAAAGTCGATTTGACTTCTAACGATCGTTATTTTTCCCCCAAAAGACCATTTTAAGCCCTTTCGTTTTGAGGGAAGTCCTAAAGTTTCATCTTTCATATGCCAGTGGAATTTCACATTTTCACTATCATCTTTTTTCTTTCTTTTTCTTTCCTTCTTCCTTTGATTTTCTCTCCTTTTCTTTCCTTTGATTTGTTTAAATTTTCTTTCCCTATTCCTTTGATTGGGTCTTTTTCGCGCTCTCTCTCTCTCTCTTTAATCGATGGTGGCTTGGAAAATTCTATAACGATCATAATGATTTAGAAAAAAATAAAAAATAATGTCCCATACTCCTTTTAGATGCATGTCTTTTTTCCAATTTTAGAAATTACTTTTAGTACCCGCTTTTATTTGATGCAAAGCATAGAAATTATTAATTAGATTAGTCTTTTATTTCTTTTGTTGTACTTGAATTCACGCACTTTTACGCAAAGACCCAAATAGTAGTTTTGATTTGATGTGATGTGACTTCTTTAAATTTTAGCTTCATTATAAAAAAATTAAAATAACTACGCTTTGATTTATAAGCTTTTGGCATGTACTGTATCTGTTCAACTATGATTTTTTTCCGTTGTGTATGATTTAGAAAATGTATTGGCATGACAGCTCTATTATGTGTACATGGAAATTAGTTTTCCTCTACGTGGTTCGTTATGTATTGTAACAAGGCTATGTTATATTGCATCCAGCGTTTAAAGTGCATTTCTTTATATCATTCATGTTTTAAGAAACAATATCATTTAAGTAATAGAACAAATCTCAATTGAGATCGAAACTGAAGAACACCTTTAAGCTTACACGTTACCCCCCCCCCCTCCTAAAAGGTTATCCGTTTCCTGCCATGAGTTGGTAAAAACTGAAGATATGAAAGGCATCATTTTACTTCTATCTGAAAGGATTATCACTTACTGTCTCGCGAGACGAGGATTTGCTCTTCCGAAAATGGAACCTGTGTCGCAGGCGGGGCTCTTTGTCTGATTTTGGAATGGAGGGGGGGGGGGGGGGTTCCGATTCCGCCGGAGGTGAATAATACGCCACCGGTCACATTTACAACATAACAAACTACATACATGGAAAACACCCACACCCACGCAACACAGAGAGAGAAGAAAATGCATGGTGTGTATGGCTGCATAGCATTATTCATTATTTTAAATTATTTATTATTTGAAATTTGTCTCGAGTGTTTTTTCATAGGCGTTACCTGTCATAACAACTTTATCAAATTCCTAGAGGAGAACAATTTTCTGCATGCAAGGTATTCAAAGTGCAAGGTCGGAGGCACAACATAGAAGTACGAATACATTTCCCACGCAGCATGGAAGTCACCCTAGGCTTGTACTTAAACATGCTCAAGCAGATTCACTGTGAGAAGTTCCGTTCTTTCGATGTCATTAATTGTGGAGAACGTCAGAAAAGAAAAAACCTCCCAGAAAAGACTGCTCTTCAAATGCCCCAATATTTGAAATATGATAGAAAACAGCGAGCAGATTGGTTCAAACATTCAGACCACATTAGTGTAGTCCCTTATAACAACTTTTGAGTATGGTGGATGCCTTTTTTTAGGAAAATTGTATCGATTATTTTCGTTTTCGATCATCCAAAATCCAACAGTATGCATTGATAATTTCCTATTTGTAACATAGTTATTACATCTCCTTGCTGTTTTCAGATAGTTTCTTTCACATTACAATGATATGTACAGAACTCAACTTCATCTTCAAATGCAAGGCTGAAAGTGAACTTTGTATACCAGCTTACCCCGTTTTGTATGCGATTATCTTCATCACCATGAAGCGGCACTTAACTGGAAGAAGAATATAGATGTCAAACAGTCAACCGTGATTTCTTATTAAGCCATTCCTGACAGGCATTTATTGAAACCGAACAAACAGGGATTATTTATTAAAAAACAGCGTAAGCTAAAAGAGAAGAAAATAGAGGAAAGCCAAAATGGACAGAGCCTAGTATATTTTTATTAGACCAAGGGAATTCCCCTTTCTTTTAATGTATACAAATAATTCTGAATTTCATGCAAAATGTGCTCAATAGGTCTATTTTATCTGAAAAATTGGACTGGGGACAAGTGAAATGTAATTTTTTTTCACAACCCTATTTTTAATTTCTTAAAGATCAGGACTCAACCGCTTTTGAGTTTATATTAAATTCATTTTCACCCGTAGAAAAAAAATGTACCCTGCTTTTCCAAGATATTATGGTTAGTTATATGCATTATACATTTACATTAACAATCCATGAATCGTTTTGTAACTATATTTATGCTAACCTTTAGCGTGTTTTTGTTATCGTAGTGGAAGGCATGAAGGCGATAGAGATTGAAAAATGTAAAATGGAGATACGAGCCATCAAGGATGAACTACTTGCGGCAAAGAGGTAGGCATGGCAACAGCTTCATGTACTCTAGTTGAAAAGGAACGAATCCCTTAAAAGCTTTTTCTCACTCTCTTTTTGTATAAACATAGAATGAACAAAACATTGTAAGTTGCGTAGCGTGGTTAGATAAAACTAAAAGGGGAATTGGCATTATTGTAGGTCATACAATATGGCATAAATATGCGGGAAATGATCATGTAAGATACGCATGATAAGATTGTGATATAAGTTTCAAAGAAATAGTACTTTACTTGTCTTCTTCAAAAAGCATCTGAGAACATACCTCGAAAATATTCTTAAGTTCCGTTTAAAATATTTCACAGGTATCGGCTTGACTACTCTTGGAAAAGTGAGATTTAAATTTAACTTGTATTATTATTATTATCTAACATGTTTTGATCGAGTTATGGAAACAGAATATTTGAATTGAATTGAATTGAATTATTGTTATTATCATTACTATTAGTATCATTATAGTCATTATTGTTATTACTAATATCTGTATTATTATATACAGTTAGCAACTGAATCATCCATACTTTTACCCAGTTTTTTAAATATTAAAAAAAAATGATTTATCCCAATTCATCTTTCTTGAGAATGTGCCATATCAAAGCTTACACATCTAAAAGTATCAAACGAAGGCCCTAATTCAGCCAGTTCATCTTTCATTCTTGATTGACGAAAACACAACAACAACGTCAGATTTGCAAGGGGTATGAATAATTTTGTTGTTTACTGTACATGTTAATAGTAAATCTGCGTGGGCTAAAATTTAAACTTTATGTCTTCCGTTTCTGCCCGTTTTTAAGCCGCCATGCAAACTTCTGCAAGTGCACCATACCGGCCGCCCAGGGGAACGATACACGGATCGTCGCGAAGCGCGATGTCCCGAAATACCCCAAGGTAAGACAATAAGAGCACTGGCAGGCCTGTCCTCATCAGCACGAGTTGGTGGCCAAATAATCCGCTAAGTTCAGACTCGGGATAATTATTACCCCGAAGGCCGAAATAGCGTCTACACCAGACCGATACGCTCACCAAAAAAAAACTAGCTCGTAGAGGTGCACAATAGCCTAGCGGGATATTTTGGAAACACGACAAAGATTTATCGGGATATTTTCTCGACCAAATATCTTACTAATTCCAACCAGCTAGGGTTGATGATGACGCAAACTAACTGGTTAATTTGCGATTGGGATAGTTAAACTAGCGGGCTATTTGGCAAACTCGAGCTGATGAGGACAGGCCTGTTCGACGTCAATGAAAATCAGACAATGGGTACACCAGCCTCGGGGGGGGGGGGGGGGGGGTGGGGGTGGGGGGGGGGAGGTTAGGTAACCACCATATAACCCATTATCACATATAAACCGGCTCCAGACTGGCTGACTCTTTGCCGCTGGAAGTAATTTTGTTCTGTAAAATATTATATTCAGTAGTACAAATCAAAAGAAGTAAGTGTACCAATTACATCATTCAGAAGTTAAATCAGTTACAAATCAAAAATTAAATTTGTGCACTTTCTTTAAAAAAAAAAAACAGTTATACGTAGAGCAATTACAAAGATTATACGTACTAAGTTTTATTTAAAGAGAAGCCAATCCATCAATACTTGGTACGTAAATAATATAATTCTATGAATAAAACATAGAACAACCCCTGCAGATAAAGAATTACCAAAAGTAACACAAAGACGCACACACATTTTTGCTCGGTCTGTTGTCGGGCTCATCTGAGTGACCAGGGTATATTGGATAAGCTTGGGAGGGGAGGGGGATATTTTTTGTTAGCATCACCATCACACTAATGAGTATATTAAAGCGTTACATGTACACACGATTTGCCTTAGTTTCCAAACAGACAGCTGTCTTTCAACATTTGTTTCCAACATTTTAGCCCGTTTAGCTTTTGATAGAAAGTAAAGAAATTCAACAATATGTCATAAATAAGGAATGTGACGATTCTTTTCTCTTTAAGACGAACGCATCATATATTACCGCCCGTTACACAACAGATTGTTCAACTTCTAAATGGGTGATACGAATTTGACAGCCATTATCATTCACGACGAGCTTTTTGTTTCTTCTGATGCTGTATCTAGTTGCATCACTTCATTACCGAGAATGGACTAATGGTCTCTTTAAAATTGCCTTTACGCTTTGAAATACGACATTCCGCCGTCCTTGCCTTGCCGTCATTGGCTTCTGTAACCATGACAACCAACAAGTATGAATCTGGTTTTGCAGCAATTTATTTCGTTCCACGATCGAAAAGGCCATTAAAGATGATGTCTTTTTTTTTTCTTTCTCTCGTGTTTTTTCCCGCATTCATACAAATCTATTTTACGGGTTTATCTCAATCATCTGGACGATGGAAAGTGATCCAGGGCAAGAACATAGGAATATTTCATAAAAGAGAGATAACATTGAAAACATAACAGCAAAAAGAAAATACTCTAATCGAACAAATATGTAATTGATTGACATGTTACCGCTTTCCATTAAATGACTGTTTTAGATCGTGCATCTGATGCAATGAATTCAGGTTTGTATTGTTTTTCTCATTAGTATTGTGCTCCTTAACTACATGTATCTTCTTCTTGTTGTAGGCAGCGCGTAGATAAAGTACATTTCCCCCATTTTAAATCAAGCGATAACGGCAAATTACAATGGATAACGCTAGTTAGACGTGCTAAGCATGCATCGATGACACGGAATTTAAATCTCTGCTTTTACATTCATATACTTCCGGGTACATCTAAGCCAGACTCAATTGTGATGAAATTACGTCATTAATTTTAACAAATGGGGATTGTGCATGTAGTGCATGAAGATAAAATGTAAGTGAAGATGTATCTTCTACTCAATTGGACGTCAGTGCAGGTACATATCAAAGAAGCCATACTTTCTCCTTCTCTTACATTTGTCTACTCGGCCTAATAAAAGCTCGGGCGAAAAGCCTCGCATCCTTACAGCTATGGTTAAAGAAAACACAGGAACGTTCACTTTTGCATTATCAAGTTCAAATAAAGCTTGTCCTTGTGTGTTACTACGCAACGGGGTTATTACAATGAAATATAACCTTAAACAGAACAAACGATTGTACCAGGGAGATGGGAGATTGTGCTTATTAATAAACAAGGTACGTTGACAAAATGAGGATGTAGAATGTTTAGGAAGCTCCTTTTTTCAAGAAGGATGAAATCGTCGAGATGTTGTTTTTTCTGATCAATTTGTTGCCACTCTCACGAATGATTTCCACTACGCTTTTACAAAAGCATCCAATCTCCCTTATATTTCCTCAATTTCTTCGCAAAGCTTCAATCTTTTTCGCACAGTATTCTAGAAGTTAAATCAGACTTTCTATGATGCACCTGTCTCATTGTTTCTCTTGCTTTATTGCAGTACACACTGTCACGCGAGACAAAGGAGTACCTCAAGAAGCCGACGTTCGACATTTGGCATTGGGAATCGAATGAGGTAAGTTTCTTTTATCACACACTGTATTAAATTAAATGTATCCAAAGGCCAATAATATGATTAAGTATTTCTCACAAATGTAGATAAGACAATAAAATGGAAAACAGATGAATAATAATAGCTCACATTTATAATGCGCCTAATACTACGTTTCTAGGCGCGGAACATATTATTACCCCGGTCATCGGATGAAGTGGTTGAATCATTACATATTTACAAAAACGTATGGGTAGATGATCCTAGACAGACTACAAACATAACGCAGAAAGAAACCAACAAATAATACAGTAGTGAAAAAGTATATTGAAATATACTTTTAAAGTGAATTACAACAACATTAGCTTTCAAACCTAGGTGCCTTTTTCGATCTGTTTAAAAATGTATTAAACTATATATATATTAATTGAAGTAAACACCAGCTGCTGCTAGCTTTTCACAATAATTAGTAGTTTGCGGTCACACATCCTATCAGTCGTAGTGCGTAAGATTGTGTCTGAACTTAGAGACTACGCCGATTGCACGGTCCATTGAACCCGATAGGCTCTGTACTAAAACCTCACATAAATACAGCCAGAGATTGACAGAGCTAGGCTTTTGCTCATGATGTTATGGAATTGTGCATGAGTGTGAATTTAGAGTCTATGTATGCAGACTAGTATGACAGTCTGCGGAAATCCTTCACTAATTAGCATCAGTCCACCGAGTCGACTTGATATTTATGGTGATTAGTCGCTAATTGACTGTATTTCAAAAGCACAACAGGGCATTACATAACCGTCTTCAAATCAAACAACTTGTTTTTCCTACTCGATATCGTCTATCAGTTTTGTAGCAATATGTATTCTGTTAACAGAATATTTTACAATATTTATCTGAAACCCCACTACTCTAGAGTTATGCATTTGTTTAAAGCGCCCAATGGTACACATCATATGTCAGTATTGATACGCAAATTGTCATTAAATCGTTTGTTCTGTTATAAATTAAAATAAATATCTATGCAAGGGCCTCCTTTAATGTCCATTCCAATGTCGACATTTGTCGATTTTTTTTCTTCTGACACAGATGCTCTGTCTTTTGGAACACATGTACCATGAGCTGGGCTTAGTAAACGAGTTTCACATGAATCCGATTGTTCTTCGGCGATTTCTGGTAAGCATGAGGTGCATTGAGGAGATACAATGGCTCGGTGGTAGAGGATTGGTCTCGTAACCAAGAGGTCCCGGTTCGAAACCAAGTCAATGCGCCTGTGCCCTTTTAACCAAGTCCCTCCGGGAAAACTTAAAAAAGTATGGCCATACGTGTTATCAGTGTATGTGATATGGTGTAATATTGAATCCCTAAATAAATTGTGCTTCAGAATAATCAAGAAGTGCTTCAAAAAAGTAAAAATCTTTGAGCGACCGGTTGTACCATACTCATTTTTCCCAATTTTACTGTACTAGCTGTTATAATAACCATTGGGAAATGATTCTTTAAATTAGTTATTCCAACCATAGATATCTTGATAATCAGACGGGCGATCGGCAAGTCAAAGTCATGGGATTTCTGACTGAACTAAAGGTTTATAATTATTATTGCAGTATGAGCTAAATCCAAGTTTTTTTTAAGAATCTGAGGCAAAGATACCCAATCCCTTTAAAGTCATCGGTCGTCTGGTACAGTCAAACCTGTCTATAGTGACCGCCCAAGGGAAACACAAAAAGTGGCCTTTGTAGACAGGTGGTCTTTGTAGACAGGTTTCTTCAGTACATGATTCAATGAGAAACCATTTTCAAGGGAAACAACAAATGTGGCCCTTGTAGACAGGTGGTCTTTGTAGACAGGTGGTCACTGAAGCAGGTTTGACTGTACTTACAAGCATATATACATGCTTTTTTAGCGGTCAGGTAAAACAATAATCAGCCATCAATTGGCATTGTGGTATCATAAAGAAATCGGGCGTTTTTCAAAGATAAAAATAGAGGTTTATTCACTTGTCTCTATAAAAGCCCGGCGCTAACGTCATTTTGAAGGATATTATCTCTCATGTGCTACTTTCCAACCAGGTGTAAACAGGAAAATGGCAGTGCTAGCGTAATAGCAACTACATGGCCCGCCTAATGTAAATATTGTTATCACTATTAGTATAAATATTATAATTATCATTGTCATCATCAATATCATTATGTAGAAGTAGTAATAGTAGTATTGGTAGTTTTATTATAATTTAATTAGTATTCTTATTGAGTTTTTCATGTAGTTATTATTGACTGAATTATATATTTATTAATTCATTTATTGTTATTATGAAATACATACATGTATCAATAATCTACATTATTTTAGAAACTTGATGTAAACGCAGAAGCAAAAACAGACCCCCGTTGAATAAAACGTATCACTGGTGGTAACTTTGCTATCAATAGTAACTACCTTGGCAACATCACCTAACAGTCAATCAAATTAAGGATTCAATGGAAGTTTCCATTCATTGCAAAGTTACCAATCAATGCTAATGTATACTCAACGGGACCCTGGTCACTGTACTCTAATGACCTTTGACCTTCAGCTTTGTGTCCAGGAGAACTACCGCAACAACCCGTTCCACAACTTTCGCCACTGCTTCTGCGTGACGCAGATGATGTACGGGATGATCTACCTGTGCGACCTGCAGTCTAAGGTGTGCCTCTCAGATCTGGGCATCCTACTCACGGCGGCAGTGTGCCATGATTTGGATCACCCAGGGTTCAACAACACGTGCGTATTCATACAATTCTGCTGTGGTGGTGTAAATTGGGACTTTTAGATTTGCGTGGACTGATACGTGTGACGTCCATTCAAGGCAGTGCATTAAAAGGACGTCGATCGTAGCAATCCACGTTGTCGTTGTGCAAATCTAAAAGTCCCTAATGGCTTGAATGTGGGACCGCACTATTTGTAGCTACTTGCGCCCTCTATAAAGCCAAACAATACCTAAGCGGTACCCGTTGATAATCCACGGTCCCCTTTCTCTTAAGTCAATTGAGAGCTGATTTGATGAGAAAACCACCTGCCAGTGACCACGCATGAATGTCAAATCCCTCCTCGCCAAACTAGTGCAGACGATTTAAAAGCCATACTGTACTAGAAGCACCGCCGATAAATCCCCTCTAGCGCCATCTCGGGTCAATATTCCGTATCGGCTAATTTTCTTCCGATGTCAAATACCATATCAATCAATTTCCCTTTTTTGTTGTTGTAATTCTTGTAATTTGTTATTGAGTGACTCATAGCAATGAGCATGAAACATTAGACGTCATGCGTTGATGTGACGTGAAAAGCAAAAGTTCAGAATTGTAACATTTAAACACTCGATTTGCCAAATACAAAGCTATTTAAAAACTCCTTACATTAGAAGAAACATAGAAACAATAGTAATTTGTTTGTTATCATCATTTTAATCGATATTATTGAAAGGTTACTTTGAAATAATTGCATAATCACACTCTTACTACTAGACTAACCCCGGGTTATAATCATTTGGTTTATAAGACGGATACCAATGGACCAATACAGTAATACAACACATAAAGGGACGGATACCAGACCAACGTTCAATACCTATAGCTATTCAATAGAACGACCATTTATTTAATTATTCTCATCTTGAACCCACCATTCTGCAATGGCCTTCAAGATCATCGACAACACTCAGAATTCAGAATATGTTCTTGAGTATTGTTTTCCTTTTGCATACAAAATAGAGGACCACTAGGCCCGTTCACACATAACATTCAGTGCGATTTGGATCGAGATGCAAAGACTGATTTTGTTTAATTTTTTTTTTATTTATTTATTTTTTTATTTATTTATTTATTTATTTATTTTTTATTTATTTATTTATTTATTTATTTATTTGTATTTTTTTTTTTTTATTTATTATTATTATTTTTTTTTTTTTTTTTTTTTTTTTTTTTATTTTTTTTTTTTGGGGGGGGGAGTGATCATTCACACACAAGTAGAATTCTCACTCGACGACAAGAACGTCCGAACTGCGCAAGCGTGAATCTGGCCGATGTATGAGCGTTTGGAATCCTGGGATTAAATATATCGATTTTTGATTCTCAATACTATTCACAAACACACAGCGCCCGGAAAACTATCGCAATTATTCTGCAAAATTGCAAGATTTACTGTGAATTGGATCGCGACGCAAATCGCGAAGGTAGGTGAAATTTTTGTCCACACACGCCAAAAAAAAAAAAAAAAAAAAAAAATTCAATCGCGATGCAAAAACGATTTTTAAGTACCACTTTTTTTTCTGTAGGTGTGAACGTCCCTATTGTCACAGAGCATTCGATAGGAATGTTACGTATTTTGTATTCTTACATTCCTTATTCTGGATACAGATATCAGATCAATGCTCGAACCGACCTGGCTATCCGATACAACGACATATCACCTCTAGAGAATCATCATTGTGCAGTGGCCTTCAAGATCATCAGCAACCCAGAATGCAACATCTTCAGGAACGTGCCGGAAGAACAGTTCAAGGATATTCGGCAGGTACATAACAAGTGCAGGAGGGTGTTTCACAAAGCCCTTTTTCAATGACAAATGGCAAATATTAGTGACAAATCTGCTGATAACCAATCAGAAGCAAGGATTTCAGTAGCTTATAACAAAAACTGACCTTTGTCAAAGATAACAAGTTTTGTAAAACGTGGCCCTGTTTTCTTCATTTGAAGACCATTAATTTGTCATAGTCTACTTGAAATCAGAATAGCTTTGAATACAGATATGATTAAACCTTTCGTAATCCACTTACTATATAATACAATTAAGGGAAAGTGTACTTCATAGTACTCTAGTGTGTACTGAGTTAGCTTGGATATGTTCCCTTTTTATAGCACCCTTAATTGTCTATGCCAAACCTTTGTTCGCTGTAAGAGATTTTACATTGAAATTTAAAAAATCTCTGTTGTTAATCATTTTTTGTAATATCTAAATTTTGATAGAAAAGTGAACTATAACTACGAGAAATTGCAATTTTGAAATACTTTAACGAAAACCATTGCTTTGGACAATGAGGAATGCATATGACTTTCTCGAAAATTATTCATTATGTAAACTTACTCTTCGAGTTTAAAACCATATTCACGTACCTCTTTCAAAATACTTAAGGGGTTCCTAAAAATGTAGATCTTGTCGATAATATATACATTTCTTTTCGTACATGGAATTTTTTTAAAGCGATTTAAATATACCAGATTACAACGAAATTCAGAACAATTATTATTATTAGTAGTAGTATTATTTATTCGGCAAAAACAAAGAAAATCATTGAATACAAAACAAGATAATATTTGGAAATGAGTCACATGGATGCTGGGAAAAACTCGAAGGTCTTCTTTTCCAATCCATGAGACTTTACTGAAATGGTAACAATAAAATGGTGAGGTTTAACAACTGATGAATCACTGAAATGTATGAATTAGTGAAACTATTTTTTTTATGACAGGGTATCATCATGCTGATCATGGCGACCGATATGGCCCGTCATTCGGAGATCCTGGACCAGTTCAAAGCCCAGGTCGAAAGTGGATTCGACTTCTCGAACCAGGAACATCTCAACTACGTGAGTATTCTCATAGGTCCGGGGTGGTGTTTCACAAAGATCTTAAGTCAAACTTAACTCAAAGTTGGACTTAAAAGTTATGGAGAGCCATTTGGAACCATAAAATAAAATGTATTCAAAAGCAAAATTCAAATATCTCAGACGTTTTTTTATAAATTCTACATCGAGAACATGAAATCTCCTTGATAATAGAAAACGTGAATGTTTTGAATCAACATTTTATGCCTTTTAAAATAACTTTTTTTTGTTTCATACATGCTAACGGCTTTCCATAATTGTTAGGTCCCACTTAGAGTTAAGTTAAACTCAGGATCTTTGTGAAACACCCCCCCCCCCCCTGGTCCGATTGCTTGCTAAAATTAAGCGCATCGAGACTTTCCAATGTTATGCGAATACAAGCATGTTTCGTTCATATTATATAATTGTTGTGACCCATGACATCAAGTCCAATCCCAACTACTGTTAGAAAATTGTTGTGGTTAATTTATTTCTAATTGCATCAGGCTTTGAAACTGCTAATGGTGTCCAAAGCCGAATGACCCCTTAATGTCAGAAATACCTCTTTAGCCCAGCGGTTTTCATTTGAGTCAAAGTATGGCAGAAAGGGAGAGAATATGACGGGAAAAGAATACGGTAGAATGCCCCTCCCCCTCAGCATTGTTGGCCATAAACCTTGCCTTTGATTCACTGATATCGATTCGTGCCCTTTACTCGTCAGACAGTTTTGGAGACAATTTAGGATGATTCCCCTGATTTGAAACTGGGGACGAGTTATACATTACAATGTAAGGACAACTATTAAATGGCATTTGAAGCAGTAAAAAAAAATCGTATATTCATACTAGTTTATATTACTTTAAATATTTCAACACAAGTATTATCAATATGCAATAGTCTTATATTTTATTTTATTTTTTTCCCAATGTGACCACTGTCTATAGCTTCGAATGGTATTGATCAAGTGCTGTGATATCTCTAACGAGGTTAGACCGTCTGATGTTTCGGAGCCCTGGGTGGATTGCTTACTGGAGGAATATTTTATGCAGGTCAGTAAAGATTGTGTATGTTCATGGATTTGACGGGTCATGTATTCATGGCTGCTAATGAAGTTGATTTGTCATAGAAAGTAGAGCATCTGCTTAGCAAAACAGAAATCTCGCGAGAGAAATCTGATTATCATTTTGATTAACCGAAGAGAAAAGTAAGTTTCCAATACGATGATTAGATTTGCCCCCTCCCCAAACAAAATAAAGGAATGATATTGAAAATATATTAATAATAATAATAATAGTAGTATAGTTCGTTCTTTCATAGCGCATTTCAGGACCGAAGGCCCTCTCAAAGCGTTATACAATGTACAATGTACGTTTACATAATAATTACTCGAAGCATTTATCAAAAAGGTGGGTTTAAGCATAATTATTGTCAATAACATGATACCATATGAAACATGATACCATATGAAAGAAGCCATGTCCAGTGAACATATCAAGGGATACCCTAAAATATATCATTTATTGAATTTATGTTCAACATAGATTGAAATTAAACGTATTGATAGCAATTTGATTTTTATTTTGCTGCAATGTAGAGTGATCGGGAGAAGATAGAGGGTCTACCTGTAGCATCATTCATGGACCGTGACAAGGTGACAAAGCCCACAGCTCAAGTCGGATTCATCAAGTTCGTCCTCATCCCAATGTTTGAGGTGGTGGCGAAGGTGAGGTTCTTTTATTTATTTTTATATTTTGACCTTTCATTTTGCACCAGTGCCAATTGACCGGTACTTTGTTTGCCAGGCGTGTAGATCTGCTATAAACAAATATGTACCAGTTTAACAAATGATCGCTTCAAGCAACTTAAAAGGCATTTCAATATTTGCTCTATTATGAACTTGATTATATTTAGCTCCAGGACAACCATTTTAACGCAGGCATAGATTAAACTTGAACTGGTGAAATTTCAAGCCTGGCTGGAATGATCCCCAGGGAGGGGAGGAATGTGCATACATTGTGTGCGGGCAAGCCGGAATCCGATGATCTGGGTAATGATATAAATGTAAAGCGCTTAAAAACATCATCGATATTTAACGCGCTATATAAAATCGGAATATTACTACTATTATATTTATGTCATGATAAAGGCAATGTGGCACAAGGAGATTAATAGTGTGGCATATCTATAAAGAATCGAATATACAGGGGTAGTAGTAGTTGAGTAGTTTGAAGACGTGCCGTAGTTGATTGGTATAAACACAAGATTGGAGATGCCAAGGACGTTGGTTCGATCCCCGACATGTCACTTTTGAAAAACTTATTTGACTCAAGCAAGGTAGTGCTTCTTTTTATGAGCACAATAATTATTATCTATATCCGTTTTCTTTAAGTTATGCACACACACCCAATTGCCAAATGTTCCCAGGAGGCGATTTACATCGATTTACAAAGTTTAAATGATATCTTACAGCTTTATGATGCATGTTTTTGAGCGCAAGGAAGAACTGGATAAAAAATAAGACTCTCAGATTAAAAGATAAAATAAAAACGTTAAAGGAAAGAACATCCGGAGCAATGTCTTTTGTCCATATATGCTAGACCATTTACTGCATTCAATGGCCTCGCTATAGAGACATGTCTCTATAGTGAACTCTTAAATGTCACCACATTGTACGGGTCATTGTAATGGCAGAAGAGCCATATAATATATTTTGTACGGCTTCAAACAATACATTCAAATAGTCGCATGTTCTTTCAAATATTTTGGTTTCCTTTGATCGTTGGTATACGGCATAGAGTCGATTATGCACAGTAGGTTATATTAAAACTATTTTAGTTTAAATATACACAACCTAATCGGATAATGGCATGGGTAAGCGTTTTTACACGTAGTCTCATGTAATGTAATAAAAAATAAGCAGCTTGTGTGAATTTTATTTAATGACAAATTACATGTAAATCCATTTTATTAAATTTAACAGCTCTTCACTCAGCTGAATGATTCAGTTGTAGAGCCGCTGCGATCCGCCCTCTACCGGTATGAAGAACAGAAGTTGAAGGAAGATCAGATCAAAGAGAAGCTGAGAGAGGTATTAATCAAGTTTTGTTTCTAGAGTAAAATTCATTGTTGGTTATAAAACAAATCTGACTTCATTGCGTAGAAGATCGCATATTGAGTGGGGCGCGATTTACCATTGGTAGAGCAGTGGTCCCGTAGCCGTTAGGTAACGGGTTCAAATCCTATTCGATATGCTAATGCCCTTTGGTAAGACATGTTACATCTTTACCAAGTCCTTCATAGAGGAAGTAAAGCCATGGGACCCATGTGTGCTCACTAACAAGCATACACATGTTTTCTTAGCGGTCAGTTAATACAAACAAACCAACCAACTACCCATAAATTCGTGGTGCGATTTAAACTCTTCCCTGAACAAGATGGACATTTATCCACGTATGAATATCACAGCTCAAAGCCTGTCACTTAGCGTGAAGGGATTTGTTTGTTGTTCAAACGTGTTAAACAAATATTAATTCTTCAGATTTTTCCAATATTTGACAGACCTGCCTTTACGATAGAATAATGGAATCGCAGTTTACTTGATTTTGGCATGGACTTCCTACTGAAGGGTTACTTTCAAGCCAATTTTTGACAAATGTTTGATCGTTATGAGTTTATTAAAGACAGGAACAAGAATAGATTATGATTTTGTCATGCTCGCAACGAAATAATCTCTTTTAAATGTTCATGTTTGTTTTACAGACGGCAAGAATTCGAGCGGAACAGGAGGGCGTGGACTAAAGACACCCAGATCATTTCTTTAGATCTATCCTAATGATAAATTTATCATCAAGATGAGTTCTATTCTTGCTACCAAAACAAATCAAAATCTCTATTTTCGCACTTTCACGGGTTTATTTTTCCAATGCCTTCTATTTTCCAAACTTGGGTGCATGACATATTAAGCACATTGAGGCGAGAGAACGGTGCTTGTGAAATTTCTGTAAATATGCAAATATTTGTGATTTAGCATATATTTGTACTGTGGTGATACATTTGTTTGAGAGTTGAACTATTGGTCTGAATACATTTGTAAGACAGCGGATATTTTTAGCTGTTCAGCTACAGCCTACGTCAGTGATGTGACCTGATTTGTGACCTTTCTGACGTCATTGGCAATAATCTGGGCGTAGACATTCGAAACGAACATTCGTCTTTGTCCAACGTACGTTTGACGGCCCGGATATATAAATAACTTGCTTCACACCCCTTTCGAAAATCTCGGAGGTAATGGTCCGAATTCACTAAGGGGGTTTGTAGACAAACCGAGGTTTATGTGCGTCATATGACGCGTTTTGACGCGTTTCAGCTTAAAGTTTGTCCGAACCTTTGTCTGAACCTTGGTCTGAAACTTGGTCTGAAACGCATCGAAACGCGTCATATGACGCACCTTAAAGATAAACTTGATTTCTGGTCAAAAAGGGAAAATTAATTCTCACAGAATCAAACAAAACTTACACTGAATGTTCAAGAGTAGAAATAAATGTTATTTGCCAAACAATTTTGGTAGACAATGTAAACTGGCTGAGTAATGAGCATAGAAAGATGGGGAAATCAAGGTTAGTAGCCCCGATACCATTTGTGTAGTCCCCTATACATCTTTCTGTGTACAGTGCGTGTTACTTTACCAAGACTGGGTCAAATTTAATATGGTGTTGATGACTCCAGAACCTTGCAGTACACACCAATACTTACATGATACATGATCAACTTGTTTTGATCCATTCCACACCTTTTCTTTCACAATGCTCAACTTTATATTTAATCTAGGCTTGTCGACGAACCTCCTTTGTGAATTCGGGCCAATGTGTTTGTATTGATATGAAAACATCAAACATGTGCAGAACTCTTTTTGAAGTATTTCAAGCTAACTCGTTTAATTTATTTGGAAAAGCTATTTGAAATATTTCAAGCATGTTCATATTATGTAACTTTGTACTCTGTAATTGTAAACAAAAAATGTATAAATGCTGTTCATAAGTTTATTGATTTATTGTCGGATGGAAATATTACACGAAATATTTGATGAATATTAAACTAACGAAGACGTTTAAGCCGAAATCAAACAAAAATTCAAAAGTGGCCTTTTCATGTATTTTTCAAAAACACTAAATCATAGCCAACATCACATCTTAAAACAAGTGTCGTGGTAGAGTTGATCATGTACTTGACTCCCAACCCAAGGGGTGAAACGGTTGAAGGTTCGAATCCCAGCCCGACACTATTAAATCCAACGTCACTTGGCAAGAAATCAAACCATTATTTTCACCACTCTCCACCCAGGTGTAAATGGGTAACTGGCAATTGCTGGGGTAATGGTAATTGCAAGGTCCGCAATAAGAGCAGTATTGATACTGATATGCCTACCTTGATTACTAAGACTTAACTATTATCATTATTGTGTATTAGTATTAGTATTATTAATACTATTATTTTCCTTATTGTCATAAGTATTATTATTATTATTTTCATTGTTATTGTTTTCTTAATATCATTATCATTATTGTTATTGATATAAATACGATTATCATTGTTAAACAATTTGCAATGATAACATAGATTTCATTGCACATACGATAGGATATATAATTCTAAAAGCAGGGTGCTAGGTTGGAAATAAAACTTATCATGATTTTTTCAATCCTTATTTACATATCTTAACATTAATTTGTTTTATCTCACCTTTCTCTGATCGTGACTTTGGAACATTTTTGTACGCATTATAAAGAATCATTTTTTATACACCTCCAAAATCATTGTGAACTATATATATATTATTGCAAACTTGTCAAAACAACAAAGGCAGACTTGTGTTCATTGAATTCATATTCATATTTGTTTCCGAAGTTATTCCCGTTCAGTATATATATATGTCACTTGTGTTTCTTATTGGTTGGTATTGATATTTATATATGTAATTAAGTTGAAGTGTACAATTGTTTGTTTGTTTCTTAATTGTTCAAAGATTCTTGTGTTTACGATTTTACAGTATTATTATGTTTCGCATTGTCCGTTATTTTGTGCAATATGTAACGTAGCAAAGTGCAGCAATAGCTGTGAAGTTGTTTGAGTGTTCATGTGTACAGTTTCCGTGTTTGAATTTGCACTCGATTGTATACTTTGAATCACATGTTTATTTCTATTCACCATGCCCGTATCTTTTGTCCGTCTTTGAGAAGGGGCAACAGTCTATACACATGAATTGCAGGGTCGCAATTTAAGCCATTTGGTGTGCACCATAGCAGGGGCGGATCTAGCTTTTTGCTAAGGGGGGGTTGACCAAAATAATGACGATGCGGAGCATCGTCCACGAGCCGCGAAGCGGCGAGCCGATTTTTTTTGGGGTGTTTATTTGAACCCCGTAAGTGATGTTTTCCTGGCATCTATTAACACAATGGAGACCATAAAAAGCAGTGCATGATAACGTCTTTTTAAATCAAGTAACAGTTAAATACACAGTTATATCCAGAGTTATCATGTGTTTGGTTAAGTTACCTGATGAGTTGAATATCTTCTCACAATATTTGCACTTGAAAGGGTTTCTCTCCAGCGTGCGTTCTTTTTTCTTTCTTTTTTTCTTTCTTTTTTTCTTTTTTTTTCCTTTTTTTTTTTTTTTTTTTTTTTTGGGCCGCCCAAGGGGGGGGGGTTGCAACCCCCCCCACCCCCCCCCCTGGATCCGCCACTGCATAGACCGTGAGAACATTGGTAACATGATTAACGTCATGATAAACTACTTCCTCTATCAAAACCGGAGGACAAACATGAGCGGTTCTAAAAGATTTTACCTTTTATTATCCTTAAAGAACGGTGTTCTTGTGCATGGGAAAGGGACCCCCCCCCCCCTCTCCTTCTAGAACCGCTACGCCCTTCGGAAAACATATCACGTCATAAAGGTACTACAATATTGAAAGATGTCAGCGCACGAGCTGAAAACAAGACAATACATATTTGCATTTTTCTTTCTTTCTTTCATTTGATCAGAAAAAATAAAAACTAACGAGTAACTGTTCGTTTAAAAATATTATGGTGCCACTACATCTCTAGAAAGGCTGTGAAATTCTTTTCAGATCCGTGTCTATTGTTAGAAATGTATAACCTACGTGTGATAAACACGTATAAATACGCTTAGATAACGGACGCAGTCAATAGGGACTTTTAAATTTGCCTGGACTGATACTTGTGACGTCCATTCAAGGCAGTGCAGTAAAAGGACGTCGGTCGTAGCAATCCCCATTGTCTTCGTGCGAATCTAAAAGTCCCTACTGAACTTAGGTCAACTTTCGGAACGCAGTGTATTGCTAATTATCTCATAGTAAAATAATGTAAACAAAATAACAAATATTCCATTAATAAAGTTTGAATGTAATGAAATGGTTCAAAACAAAATGAAGTCAATTAAATAAAAACGTTATTTGAAATAAGTCATATGCCTTGATAACTTAAAAAGGGTTGGGCTATACTGTACATATAATTAACTGTTTGATCATTGTACTGATGTTAATACTTGATTTGTCGTTTCAGTAATGTTAAAATGTCGATTGTGTTTTGGTATTAGATTCGCGATATTAATGTTTGTCATATGATGGTTTTGCACTGGGTTTGCTTTAATAAAGTTTTAACGCAATTTGCTGCTCAGCTGTAACTAGCACGTGCCATTATTTTACGATTCTCTGTGAGCAATCATGTAGGCAGTAATCGCGATGATTGTGAGGGGTTTAGTGAGATGTTTGAAAGAAAAGCTACTGGTTATAATAGTTTGGATAAAAATTGAGTTTTTGAGGAGATTATGACGACGGGAGAGGATAACAAAAATAAAACCGCAAACAATGCAGAACCAGAAAAGATGTCTGAAGTCTGAAAATCTTCTTTATTATAGAGGTCCCGTGGTCTAGTGGTCTGTCAATGGACTATGAAGCACAATGTAAAGGGTTCGAGTCCTTATCATGACACTAATGTCCTTAGGCAATACATTAATCTACATTTGACACTCTTCATCCAGGTGAGGTAATGTGGTAGACGGTAAGAGCTAGTTCCTCGCACCCAAGGGTTAGAACAGGAGAGCCACTGGAGTGCCAAGTGTGACGAGATGCCCGTTGTACCTGAACCAGGTAGTAGTTGTAGTAACAATAATAGAAGTAGTATGGTAGTAATAGTTGCAGTCAGGCGCGCACGCAGGGGGGGGGGGTCGACCCCCCCCCCCCCATTGGCTGAGTCGTTGAGAAATTCTCGGCGCGATTTTAAAAAATTAACCCCCCTTCGAAAAAAATCCTGCATACACGCCTTGTTGCAGGAGTATTAGTAGTACTATCATTATTCTTATTAGTAGTAGTAGTTGAAGTAATAGTAGAAATAGCAGTAGTAGTAATAGTAGTAGTAGTAGTAGTTGTATTAGTAGTAGTAGTAGTAGAAGTAGTAGAAGAAGAAGTAGAAGTAGAAGTAGTAGTAGTACTAGTAGTATTAATAGAAGAAGTATTAGCATTAGTAGTATTGTACTTATTAGTAGTAGTTGTAGAATTATTAGTGGTAGTAGTAACAGAAGTAGTAGTAGTAGTAGTAGTAGTAGTAGAATTAGTAGTAGTAGTAGTAGTAGTAGTAGTAGTAGTAGTAGTAGTAGTAGTAGTATAGTGGTAGTAGTAGTAGTAGTAGTAGTAGTATAAGTAGTAGAAGTAGCAGTATAGTTGTAGTATTAATATAAGAAGTATTAACATTAGTAGTATTGTAATTATTAGTAGTAGTACAAGTAGTAGTGGTAGTAGTAGTAATAGTAGCAGTAGTAGTAGAAGTAGTAGTGGTAGTAGTAGTAGTAGTAGTAGTAGTAGTAGTAGTAGCAGTAGTAGAAGTGGGAATAATTGAACAAGTATAAGTGGTAGTAGTAACATTAGTAGTAGTAGTAGTAATAGTAGTAGTAGTAGTATAGTAGTATAAGTAGCAGTATAGTTGTATTATTAATAGAAGAAGTATTAACATTAGTAGTATTGTAATTATTAGTAGTAGAATAAGTAGTAGTGGAAGTAGTAGTAATAGTAATAGAAGTAGTAGTGGTAGTAGTAGTAGTAGTAGTAGATGTAGTAGTAGTAGAAGTAGTAGTAGAAGTAGTAGAAGAAGAAGTAGTAGTAGTAGTAGTAGTAGTAGTAGTAGTAGTAGTAGTAGCAGTAGTAGAAGTGGGAATAATTGAACAAGTATAAGTGGTAGTAGTAACATTAGTAGTAGTAGTAGTAG